AAAAAAAAAAAAAGATGTTCAGAACTGTATCAAGAAAAAAAAAAAAGGCATCCTAAGTTCCAACAGTGCACCTCTCCTGTAAGTCTAAACAGTCATTAAACAGGCAGCTTGTTAAACGAGGAATATCTGTAATATCAAATAACTGTTTAGGACGGGGTGTCAGAGTTCATAGCCAATCCAGTTACCTTTCCCTCTGCCCTCTCTGTCTTCTACCTTTCTCAACATAGCCTAGGCCCTGAACACTTACAAGGCAAGATGGTGATTTGTAATTGCATAATTTTTGGTAGAAGTCTGTCATCTTAGATTTTTATTTGATAGTGCCACAGAAAAGGGGGCTCAAAAAACTTTTTTTTTGCATTCTCATTTTCTCAAACCTAATACCTCTGTTAAAGAAATAACCTTCTTGATGTTCTTTTATTATTTTTGGAGTATTTCAGGTAAGCCGAAAGGGACCTCATCCTTTAGGACAGTGGTGGCAAACCTATGGCACGTGTGCCACCGCAGGCTGTTTGTATTCGCCATCACTGCTTTAGGATCTTTCTCCAGTATTTAATATGTTGGTGGTATCAACATTGTTTGACTTTGTAGGCCAACATGAAGGGGGCAGAAAGGCACTTCTTTCTCAACTCCTGAGAGTCAGAATTTTGGAGTTGTAGTCTAGTGAGAGTGTTATCATTTGTTATTGTTAATCTGTAGATGCCTGTCCATACTTAGAAAATTTGCAGTGTTGGTGTCAAGTTACCTATTCTTTTCTAGGTGTGTTAAGACATCTATATTTGTATGGGGGCAGGAGGATTGCAAATTTGAGCCCAGTGTGGGCAGATTAACAGCTTGGCAAGATCCTGTCTAAAAATAAAGGGCTGAGGGTGTAGTTCAGTGTGAAGATCCTGGGTTTAGCTAAGCACTGCAGATAAAATACAGCACTGCCGATAAAATACAATTACATTAAAAAAAAACCCTTTAGACTGTGATTAGGATATGTATAGTACTCAAATGAGGCAATTTAAGTGACAGTAGTTTAAAAACTAGAAACTGGCAGACAGGTATCTGAAAGTCTGTCATGGTGTTTAGAGCAGGGTAATGGCATGATGAACTCTGAAACTAGAGGAAGAGAAAGCAAAAAGACCAAGATCAGAGGTGAGGTTGGTGATATTGAAAGTAGAAATGAAAGTTTTATTTTAATCAATAGTCATTTTGGAGGAGAAAAGCCATATTTCTTGGTGACTGATAAAATAGAGGAAAAGAAATTCCTTACCTCCCCAATTAATTCATCCAATAAATATTTGAATGCCTATCATTAATAAACTGACCAGAGGATATACTGTATGAAGGCACAGAACTGTGTGGACCTCTAGCAGTCTGAAGTCCTGGTCTGGGCAGGATACTTTCTTCGCTGAGAGAATTTGGGAGCAAGTGCAATGAAACCAACCTATTCAGCTATAAATAAGTTGTGAATCCTGTCACAAAGAGGGGTACAAAATAGTACCACATTGGGCTGGGGATTTAGCTCAGTGGTTCTGTCACCTGCCTTGCAAGCGCAAAGACCCAAGTTTGATCCCTGGTACCAAAAAAAAAATAGTACCACATTAATTTTTATGTGGTTCTCATGACATTTGTTTATTTAAGATCATAGACATTTGATTTTAAAGTTTCATTAAAGATACAGTTTTTCAATAAGGACTAAAATGTATAATAGATATTAGGAAATGGGAAGAAAATGTTCAACTAGAAAAGGGAACAAGGAAGGAGGGAGGGAGAAAGAAAGGAAAGGATAAGAAAAAAAGTGAAAATAGAAGGAAAAAATGGAAACAAAGCTTTTGTACATAGAGAGGGGAGGGGCCTTGTGGGGAGGGGGTATGGGAAAAAAAAAGAGGCGCGATGTACCATGTACCGGTGCAAATTCCTTAAATGAGTGTTATCATTATATATGCCTAAAACGTACCAATAAATGTTATGCTATTAAAAGTGTATTTTTGAGGTGTTTAGAAAGATTATATTTTTCTCCAAATAAGGGCAAAAATGCTATTTAAAAGCATTGTAATGAAATTTTGACTTTTAAGTAATTTATATTCAGTCCTACTGTTGGTATGTCTGGAATAAAGACATTTCTGAATCTTATCTACATAAATGTGACTATTTGTTGCAGGCTTGTCAATTCTAGATGTTGTCAGTGTTTGAACAATAGGATTTAAATGAAATTTAGTTGTGTGCTAGCATAATAAATTTATTTTATAGCAGCAGTTCTCATAGTTCAGGCTAAATCATAATCACCTGGAGGTCCTGTTACATTGTAGAATATTAACCTGTACTACTCTTAGAGTCTCTGATTTAAGTCAGTCTGGGACAGGGTTAAAAATTTGCATTTTCAACAAGGTGTTGCTCATGTTGAGAACTTCTATTATGTAATAATAAATAATATTCTCATACTACAACTTAGCTTTTAATAGGCTAATAAAATCAGGAATGAGTAAAAATTAAACTTAATTTTCATAAGCATATAGCTTAAATCCAGATCTCCTTAGATGTGATAAAATCTTAGTCTTTCCTTCAATTTATTTTAATTATACTATTTAGCAATAGAAAAAAGTAGGAAACAATCTTAAAATACCTTAAAACATATAAATATTCTCTATTCATAACAGATTAAGTATTTAGGGGCATTTAACAGCCATACTTAGATTAATGATTGGGATAATTACTGAGAAGTGCATTGTAGGCAGTTTCGACATTGTTTAGGGAATATTATTGAGTTTACTTACACAAACTTAGATTGTATAATTTACTTATTAAGCATCTATTTTATACAGTGTAAACAATTACCCCATGCTACAAACCTGTAGAATGTATTAGTATACTGAATAGTGCAGACTATTGTAATGGTATGTGTATCTAAAGACACACTTGAGTATAATACTAGGAATGAAGGAGTAGAAACGTCCTGTGGCCGAGTCAGGTGAGTGGTGAGTAAATGTAAAGGCCTAAGACATTTTTGCACACTGCTGTAGACTATAAACACTGTACATGTAATTCTATACTAAATTTATAAAAATTTTTTTCTTCAATAATAAATAAATCTTAGCTATGTATTAGCTTTTCTGTTGTTGGAATACAGTACCTAATACCTACAATTTAAAGGAAGAGAGGTTTAATTTGGCTCCTGGTTTCTCAGGGTTCAGTCCAAGGTTAGTTGGCTCCAAGGTGTGGTGAAGAAAAACTGCTTAGTTCATGACATTTGGAAAGCAGAGCAGGGGAATACCACCAGAGAGGAAAAGGTGAAAAACTAGATTCAGTAACCAGGGACACACCTCCATGACCTATCCAGACACACCTGGAATTTTGTTCCATTGGTCCCCTGGGTGGCTCCTAAGTCAAGTTGACACAACCATGCTTAATCATCATATACTGTGACTTTTTTTTCTTTATGAACTTTTAAAAAATTTTTGAGTTCCATCCCTGGTACCAGAAAAAAAAGTTAAAAAAATTTAACTTTTTATAATAACACTTAAAGTGCAGATTATACAGCCACATAAAGATATTTTTCTTTATATCCTTATTTTATGGTTTTTTTGTTCTGTTTTCAAAAGTCTTTTATTTTACTTTCTAAATATAAGGCTTAGAATCATCAGTTTCATGCCTTACACCTCTACATCTTATCCCACTGAAAGGTCTTCAGGGGCAATACCACCCCAGTACTGTCTTCTCCTGTAACAATGCTTCCTTCTGGATCCCTCCTGAAGGATCTGTCTAATGCTGTTTTGTGGTTAACTTTTCGTTTATTTTATAAGTAGGAATGCACTGTAAAATAGTGACTAAAAAGTATAGCCTCCAAATACATAAACTACTAACATAGCCATTTATCAAATATTGTGTAGTATTACATAATTTTATATGCTATAGTTTTATACAGCTGGTGCCACAGTGGGTTTATTTATGCCAGCATCACGACAAACATGTGAGTAATACATTCTGCACAAGAGGAAAATTCCTAGGCCAGTAGGAATTTTTTGACTCCCTTATAATCTTATGAGACCATTGACTGATAGGTAGTTAGGTCCTCATTATGCTGTACATGACTGTATTTGAAACTGTGATTTGTTTACCATAATATTTTTTCTTGAAGTTAAAAATCAGTACTCAATTTTTTTAAATTTAGTAACTGAAAAAAAAAAAGACTTCATTTGAAAGGTGGTTGGTCTTGCTTCCCACTTTCCTTCTCTCCTTCCCCATCAAATAGTTCTCAGTTCACTGAATTTCAAATGTGAAACTCTGAGGATTAAATGTGACAGTATAGTTAATATGCCATGTGAACCCAAATTAGTTTCAGTAATTAAGAAAAAAAATCTTATGTTTTTTAGCTAATGGGAATGACAACAAGAAATTTAAAGGAGATAGACCTCCCTGTTCGCCTTCCCGTGTTCTCCATCTTCGAAAAATTCCATGTGATGTCACCGAAGCGGAGGTCATATCATTAGGTCTTCCGTTTGGCAAAGTAACTAATCTTTTGATGTTGAAAGGAAAAAGCCAGGTATGTAATATGTAAAGATTGATGCAGAGTAATTATCTTCAGGGTGTTACAGCTGACTTTTATTTTCTTGAACTTTATCTTCTAAATTTCATTTTATTATCAAAAATTAGCTTTTAAAGTAGATTTTTAAATGAAAAGAAACAGCAAACAAAAATATTAACACAGGAAACAGTATTAATTTTTACATAGTCATTTTCCTCTTTTTTTTTGGTACTGGGGATCGAACTCAGATCCTTTCACTTTTGAGGCAGGCAGCAGAACCACTGAATTAAATCCCGGCCCTCATTTTCCTCTTTCTTAAGAAAGATTTCCTATTTTATTTATTTCATATTATAGAATGATCTTTGAAAATATCCTGATTGCTATAAAGCTCTGATAGGATGTAAATTATACCTCATTGGACAAAAATAAAGATACTTTGATACATACGCTATATATATTGTTTAATGTTTAAATTAAATATATATTTGGGCCGGGGTTGTAGCTCGGTGGTGCCTGCCTGGCAAGTACAAGGTCCTGAGTATGATCCCTGGATCTAAATAAATAAATAAATAAATATTCTCAAATATTTATTTATTTTGCTGAGAGAGAGAGAGACTGACTGGGATTGAACCTAAGGCCTTTGTACTGAGTTATAGCCTCAGCCCTTTCTTTTTTTGGTGGTTTTTTTTTGTTTTGTTTTTTGGTACCAAGGATCAAACTCATGACCTTGCTCATGACCCTGAGCTGAACCCCTGGCCACTCCTCAGCCCTTTTTTTTGAGACAGGATCTCACTAAGTATATAAATAGTCCAGGCTGGGCTTGCATTGTGATCCTCCTGCCTCAGCCTTCCAGAGTACTGGGATTACAGGCCTGTGCTACCATGGTCAGCTATTTGCCAGTCCTTTTTGGTGAAAACTATTAAAATCCTTTTTTCTAGCTTTTTGAAATATGCAGTATATTGTCATTATCTGTAGTCACTCTGCTGCACAGTACCACACCAGAACTTTTTATTCCTACTTATAACTTGGTACCTGTTGATCAATGCTTCCCCATTTTTTTCTTCTCTGCTACTCTCCCCAGGCTCTGGTAACCACCATTCTACTCTCACTTTTTGTGAGATCAGCTGTTTTAGATATCATACACAACTATATATCATACTAGATCATGCACTATTTTTCTTTCTGTACCTGGGATATTTCACATGAAATGATCTCCATTTTCATCCATATTGTCACAAAAGATTTCATTCCTTTTTTTTTTTTTTTTTTGGGAGACAGGGTCTCTATGTAGTTCATGCTGTTCTTAAAACAATATGTATCCCAGTCTGGCTTCAAACTCACAGTGATCCTCCTGCCTCAGCCTCCAAAGTGCTGAGATTGCAGGTGTGCCCAGAGATTTAGTTTGTCCTTAGGGTTGAATGTTGTTCCATTGTGTATATATGCCACATTTTCTTTATTGATTCATCAGTTGATGAACCTTTAAATTGTTTGTTTCTTGGCTATTGTTAACAGTGTTGCAATTAACATGGGAATACAGAAGTGTCTGACATAACTGATTTTATTTTCTTTAGATACATGGTCGTGGGATTGCTAGATCATATGGTTGTTCTTTTTTTCATTTTATTTAAAACAATTTACATACTGATTTCCATAATGGCTGTATTAATTTATGTTTCCAGTAACAGAGTGCAAAGGTTCTCCTTTCTTCACCTTCTTGTCCAGCACTGTATTCTTTTTTTCTTATCTTTTTTTGAGGCTCAGGCTGGCTTTGAACTCACTGTGTAGTCCAAGCTAGCCTCAAACTCGTGGTGATCCTCCTGCTTCAGCCTCCCAAGTGCTGATACTACAGCCATGCACTACCATGCCTGGCCAACACTGTAGTCTCTTTTTATAATAACCATTCCTATTGGAGTCAGGTAACATCTCACTGTGGTTTGATTTGCATTTCTCTGAGTTTTGTGATGTTAACTTTTTCATATATATACACCTGTTGACCATTTGTAGGTTTACTTTTGAGAAGTGTCTGTTTATGTCTATTGCCAATTTTTAAATTGGGTTTTGTTGCTATTGAATTTTTGGAGTTACATATTTGGAGTTATATATATTATGGATGTTAACCTATTGTCAAATGGTTAGTTTACAGATATTTTCTTCCATTCCATAGATTGTCTCTTCACTCCTGTTTTCTTTGTTGTGCAGAAGCTTTTTAGCTTAATGTGACCCCATTTGTCCCTTTTCATTTTTATTTCCTGTGTTTTCTTGGGCAGTGGGAAAACCTTGCCCTTGTCCAGAAAAAGGAGTTTTTCTTAAGATGATTAAGGAAACTTGATTCTCTGGTGACTATGACAAAAACATATTGGTCTTTTTGTTGTTGTTGTTTACTTGTTTGTTTATTGAGATAGGGTCTCACTATGTAGTTCAGCTGGCCTTGAACTCACTGTGTAGCCCAGGTTGGCCTTGAACTCACTGTGATCTTCCTGCCTCAGCCTCCTTCTTATGTGTTGGGATTACAGGCATGAGCCACCATGCCTGGCAATATTTTTTTTTTTTTGGTACTGGGGATTGAACTCAGGACCTTGTGCTGGTGCGGCGCCACTGAACTAAATCCCCAGCCCTGCCAGGCAATATTTGTCATACTGATTTGAATAATTGTAGGTTTTTTTGTTCCAACTCATACTCCACTGGGTTGTCCTGAAAGCCTTTTGCACTGAATGTTATTGTGCAAAATAATGAATAAAGAATCAAGAAAGAAGATACCAAATCTAGGAGCTAGAAAGGTCTAGTACATTGTGATGTGTCATTGTGCTTCTACTTTTTGTAAATAATGCTCAGAAACACATTATAAATACATTATAAGTAGATTGGTAAGTGTGGGCATGAAAGATTGGATGATGTCAGATTCAGTTACCTTTTCAAGTAAACTACTTAATTTGTATCCCTATTTCATTCGGATGAAGTTGCTAAGATCCAGAGAAGTTAACTAAATAACATGCTGTAGTTGGTCCGGGGATTTAGCTCAGTGGTTCCACCGCCTGCCTCGCAAGCTCAAGGACCTGAGTTCGATCCCCGGTACCAAAAAAAAAATAAATAAATAACATGCTGTAGTATTCAGTCTTTGTTCTTACATGTCTTTTGGAGGTGCTACGTGGCTCTCTCTTAGATCTTTAACACAGTTGCTACTACGGAGAATAGTATGATCTGTGTGGTTTGAGAAGAACCAGCACAACCATATCTAATGGTTAATTATCTGTGATGGACAATAGAGTGGTCACTTCTTTTTGTCTATACTATTGATTCTGGGTTTATTTATAAGCTAACAAACTGTTACATTAATCGCTTATCTTTTGATCATAAATCCTGTTTAGAAAATATTTCTTTTTTCCTTTTTTTTTCTCCCCCTGGCACTGGGGATTGAATTCAGGACCTTGTGCTTGAAAGCCAAGCGGGGCCACTGAGCTAAATCCCCAGTCCTAGAAAATATATCTTCATACACTTCAATAAGAAATTCTGGTGTAAGTCAGTAGAACCGCTGTGAGCCATAAATTTCCTAGGATATTTGGAAGTGGAATGTTAGGGGTAGAGTTGGGTTATTTTCACTAATCTTCTGTGTAGTGATTTTTGGTTGTCTCTCCCACATTATGAAAATTAAATTTTTGACTAATTGACTTTGACTTTGGAAAAACTAATTTGAATAATTTATTTACTAGATTCATGTGGAAAATTTATTTTTACATATGAAATGTTAAATCATACTCTCAGAAAAACTTTATATGACTGGAATAATGTATCCAGAAAACATTGTTTAGCTTTTTGTTTTAGTGACTGATGTTAGAAATTGAATTAGTTCTTAACACTTACCAAGGAGTTAGCAGAAATAAGCTCTCCTCGTACAGTGAATGTTTGTATTGTGGATATTTGTACCACTTAGATGTATAAAGGACCTGAAGCCAGTTTTGTTCCTTTAAGATAATAGAATGTTATTTATTATGGACTGATTCATTGATTTGTGGTATCTGATCCACCATCATGGGCTAACATAACTATTTCATGGAAAATTGTAGTTCAGTTGAATCATTTAATTGGTTCAGTCATTACATTTGGTTGATGTATTTATATATCACAGTTAACATTTTTCAAGTTAATGTTCCATTACTGGATTTCATGTGGAAACATTGGACAGTTAAGGTGACTATAAACAAAGATGGATTTATAGATATTTGCCATTTCCTATGTTTAATAAAATTTAATGTATTTTATAACTAAGTTTTAAATGTTTTATACTTAGTGTGGTTGCTATGTGCTTGCTATTGAAATATTTTATAATGATAATAAAGGATTATCTAACTAGAAATTTGTGTTAATTTTGACTGGGGCTATTCCTTTATTTATTGATTGATCGATTTATTGAGATAGGGTCTCACTATGTAGTTCAGATTGGCCTTGAACTCACTAGCCTAGGCTAGCCTCGAACTTGGAATGATCCTCCTGCCTCAGCCTCCCAAGGCCTGGGATTATAGGGATGCACCACCATGCCTGGCTATTCCTGCATTTTAAATTTGAGATATTCTTACAGGCAGCTCTGAGAGCTTAAAAAGATTAGAATATATCTATATTTTATCTTCCTCATCAGCCGTTAAAATAGGCTGGAATACCTCTGCCTTAAAGCTCTGTAAGTATCTTACTCCTGTCACAAAAGTCACAGGAGTCCTCACAGCTAGTATAAGTATTGAATACGACATAAGCTAGTATCGAATAAGTTGTAAATATCAAGGATCTCCTTCCATCTCAGCTTTTCCTATGTTATTCTTGTGCTGTCTTTTTTTTTTTTTTGGTACCGGGGATCGAACTTGGGACCTTGCACTTGCAAGGCAGGTGCCAGAACCGCTGAGCTAAATCTCCAGCCCTCCTATGTTATTCTTCAGATAACTAATGTTAGTACAATGATTATAGATATCAAGTGTCATTTGAATGATTCAAATTGATATTGAATTAATGTAAGAAGTCCCTCCATTTTTGTAATTTGAGTAGTTGATCTCCTGAACCTATTTTTTAAAAATATTCTATAATTAGGAGATTAGACACCATTTTCTAATATCTCCAGATCATGTGTGAACTGTAGTGTATATATGTATTTTAAAGAAAGCCTCAACACGTAGAAATGAATTTAAGCTCTAAGAGCACTAGCTAAAGCAATGAGAGTTTGTGATCTGGGATGGGTTTTTGTAGGGCAGTGGGTAATGTGGTAGGAAGCTGACAGAAAAATTTTCTTCATAGGTTTTGGGGGAATAGAGAGGATTCAGAATTGAGCGAGCCCTTGACACCTTAAGATACTGCTCTCTTGTCAACAGTGCACATGTGATTTCCCATTGTTTTATACTAGAATTTTTATATCATTTTAAAAAATGCTTAATAAAATTCTTACTTTGGGAAATGTTTTTAAAAATTAGAAATATTTTACATATTCATTTAAAAATATTTAAAAGTCTAGAATTATTTAAATCAAAGTGTGATATTCCCCAAGTCCTACTCTTTTCTGTTAGTAGTTCCATGTGATACCATATGTAGACATATATGTGACAGATTTGTAGATACAGCATTTATGTATGTACATGTATATAAGCATATAAATATATACAAGAGGTGACCAATAGATATGATGAGTGTTTAAATTTTTTTTTTTTTTTTTTTGGGTACCGGAGATCGAACTCGGGACCTTGCGCTTGCGAGGCAGGCGGTGGAACCACTGAGCAAAATCCCTGGCCCT